TAATAACAATTAAGCAACTTAAATATTCTTATATTAATGGCATATTCAGAATTATCATGTAAACAAAGTCAGTTTAGTGATTCTGAATTAAAATTATATATCACCACAAAATACAGGGTTTTGAAATGCACAACTTTTTTTATAATTGTTTTGCAACTTGTTAACTTATAACAAATTAGAACCATTTGAAAAATATATCTTAAATATATATTGTAGTTCATATATTGTAGTGAAAACAATTAAAAACAATTAACATTTATTTAAACAATTTTTATTATATTATAATGAAATAATAGAAATAAATATTGCATGTAAATTATATGATAGAAAAGTAATTAATAGCGGAAGGAAATTGCTATTTGCGCGGCACCCCAGGTAAAAATCAGACTAAAGCACTGGTTAGCCTCTTCAACTATAATAGATGCCCCGCTACAGTAGAACTAAGCTAAGATTGTTGGCAAGTTATCTAATGGGTTACCATAACGAACGTTATCATCTTAATAAAATTGAGCTATAATAGACCCACCCTCCTCAGTAGAACAAAGTAGCGGTTGTTAGCAGGTTATAGCCAACGTTCTCAACTTAATAAAATTGAGCTATCCGAAAAGAAAGAAAATCAAATCTGCTTGTAAACAGATAAGACTTCGAGTCTTATCCATTGCGGCTTTTCGATTTTGATTAGGACCACAAAAAGGTAACTGGTCCTAGAGTTCCTATTTCCCCTCAGATATTAGAATATTTACAATAGCTAAGATTTAGGTCTTTATTCAAAAGGTGAAGTCTTTACTAAAGTCAATTATTTTTATGAACACAAAGAAACAATTTTTAAAACTTAGATTCTAATAGCAAAGAAAACGCAAGCACAAAAATTTAGTTAATTTCGAATTCGAATATCTTTTTAATTAGTTTATAGTCCGTATATAATTTGTTTGCACTGCAAGTGCCAGGCTTTGTGGTTTTTTTTTTAATGAAATTAGTAAGCAGCAAAATGGCTGAAAGGCTAAAGTGTTAGCGTTTAGGGAAACAAGTTGGTTAATTGCTAGCCACATTAAGAATAGTTATTAATTTTATTTGGTTGCCTAGTAGCAACTCAGTTGACTAGCTAGTCAAAGAATATACCATGGAAATTAGCGGATTAATTCAAAATCGGTACTCATATATGTCACATATGGGCTTTCAACTAAATATATTTTACAATATGGTAAAGTAATAGTTACAACTTAAATCCATTCTACTCACATAACAGATATTTAATTGAAAAATTTTTCTTAATTTTTATATATTAATTTATATTAAATTCTTTAGGAGTTGTGCAATATTAAAAGTCACTTGCTTAAACTAATCTTAGTGTTAATAAATTATGGTGGTTTCAAACAATTCGACAAAAGTCAAAATTTAAAAAAAAAATCAATAAAATGCATAAAACTATACCAGAATTATTGTGTAAAATCACCATTGAAAAGCTTAATTTAATAAAAGTGAATGCAGTCGAATTAAGCAATTCAAACAATTTATCAATTTTTAATAAATAACTTTGAATCAATTAACAATTTGTTTACATTTTTTTTTTTTGATTTTTAAACAATTTTGAACTATTAAACTAAATTGTTGTTGGTATTTGGTTGGTTTATATTTATAATAAAATTTTTTCTATTAAAACTAGTTTTAAATTGTCATTTTTTATATAAATCTTTAACTTCATTCAATTAAGGCTTTTACACAATAACTGATTATATCTAATGTCTTGTTAGCTACAACTTCTTATTGCTTTAATGTAACTAAAATAATATTTATAATTTAATGTAAAAATAATATTTATAATTTTCAAAATTATTTCTAAGAGTACTGAGCTAATTCAAGGATTAACTTTCAATGCGGAAGCTGCAATTTTTATAGCTCTTTTACTAACTTCAAGCGTGAACTTTTATTTCAGTTTTATATATCAAAATAGAAAAACTTCAGGAAGTTTTGGGGCAATATTGTTTAAGATCGTAGCAGTAAAGTTGTTTATAATAAAGTTATAAAATGTTATTAAAAAAATATTGGTTTATTTTTGAATGTTTAAGTAAGATTATTGCTTTTTTTATCATTTATTGTATTTTAACCTTAAGCCATCTGTTATATGGTATAATTTTTATTACATATTTTTATACTTTATTTTTCATTTTTTATAGATTTTGTATCTAAAGTTTAGTAGATTTCAACTTAATGTGTAATAAATATTTATTATATTGTTAAACTTAAAATACAACTAACACTCTTGTTAAATAAGATTTTCTTAACTACGTTGGGTAGATAACTGCATAGCAGCATATCATTGATTTTAAATATTTAGTTATGAATAATAATCTGTTAAAATATACTATGTATTATTAACATAAACTGTTAATTTCTTTTAACATGAAACGTTAATTTTTAGACATGAGCGATACATAAATGTTGCTATTAATGATCACTAAGTACATGTTACCAGTTGAGTTGTAAGACCAGTTTGAAGCAGAAAAATCAAAATAGTTTTAGTGGTAATTAAAATAAATTTTATTTAAACAATTTATTTATTTAAAAGTTCGTCCCATTGGTGATTAATTCTTTCAAATAACTAAATCCATTGAATAAAGGATTCATTTAAATGTGGAAGACTCTGAACTACTTCTACATTTATGTTTTAGTATGCCTTTTGCAATATTTTTGCTCCTTAATGATTTAATTCAGTTATGGTGGAATCAATTTTCAAAGGAATATTGTTGAAGATAGTATAAACATAACAGTAATAATACGTGATCCACCATGGGCGACCATGATCGGAAGAAAAGAAACTTATTTGTTATAAACACACGAGTCCACCTGAGAACTTATTACTATAAAAGAAAAAATCACTCTCTTGTTGTTTTAGTTGTAACCCATATTCTTGAGAATACAGTTGAGCCATCACATTAGACCGCAATAAAAAGAGAGTATTTGTTATGAAAACAGTATTCTTTCAGATATTGTATTGTTAAAAACAGAATAATAATAGATTTTTTTTGTCATTTGATCATGGTCTTGTGCTGTTTTTGCTGTAATCCACATTCTTAAGACACTCCAAAAGTGTTATATAAAATAATAATCTACATACATATAAATATTTATAAATAAATAAATTGATTATATACATATGAATGCACGCAAATGACCTTACGCGATTGAGCATATATACGGATGCAAACTATAGATTCTGAAAAGAGAATGAAGAGTCAGCCATACATGTGTTTTTAGAATGCTCTGCGCTGATGTACGTACGGAATAGAGTCCTAGGAATGTATACTCTTTCGGAAGAAGCAATAAAACTCTGTAAAGTAGATTGTATACTATTTTTTTTATCAAAGCAAAAGGACTTAGGAACCCAGAAGGAGGCACGATAAACCTTCTTTTTCGCAGTGCCACATCAATAATAATAATAATAATGAATGCACGCAGAAATTATCTAACCAGCTTTAGTTCAATTTTTATATTAGAGTTAAAAATAAAAGGCTGTATTTGGACCCGAAAGGAGCGCTTGTATATAATAAATCATCATCATAAAAAGCATATGATAATTTTTAATGTAAAATTCATATAAAAAATGATACCGAAGTGGTTTTATATATACAAAAAAAGCAAAAAAATTAACAAAGCTGTAACATTTGAATTTAATAAATTCATGTTATGGTTATATTTTTTAATTAACTTGAAAAAAAAAAAAAAATTCTTTATTAAATGTTTTACATGTGCCGAACAAAATATACATTAATCTTTGGCGCTTATAAATTAATTGAAAATTTACTGTTGATTAAAATGCTCAATATGCTCAAATGGAAGTCACTTAAGAAAATAGCCAAATAGCCATATACATGAAAAAAAAACAACAAATAAATTGCTGAAATCATAATAGGATCTATAAATTTAACATAAAATACATATATTACAAATAAGGTAAAATATATAAAAAATTACAATAAATTGTAAAAATATGGAGTAAAAACTTGCATATGGCAGGCAAACAGCAGCGTAACCCCATGTGGGCCTTAAAATAAAACTAAAAATAGATATTACACCGTAGCTCTATGAAAAGACGAGATGTGCGCCAATCGGCTTTAACAGTGTCAGCTGTGTATTTGGACAGCAAAAGGCTTTAGGCAAGCAGTTAAAGTACCCTGCGGTGGATATGCCAGCACCTCGCGTCGACTAAATTAACTTTATACCTGTAAGTTAATATAGTTTGCATGTAGCGCTAAGAAAAGATACAAGATATAAAAGAACATCAAACTGAAATAGCACAGATATTATATATTATATGTATATAAATAAATATATATACCTAAGTATATAAGTATATGTGTATATATATGGCGTAAACTATCAGGACAAGCATTTGTTATAAATTTCAAATGTAATATTGTAGTGGATTTTGGTCAGTAGGAAAATCTTGCGAAATAAGCGCCAATGACGCCATCAAATCCGCCACCGACACCGCCACCGCATGGCTTTCTGCCACGGCTAAACAAACTGTGAGTTTGGGTGATCATGCAATTAGAAACACTTTCAAAGCTGAATTACTTTTAAGGAAAAATATTTACTTGCATAAAATACCTTTCACATGACACTTTTGCGCCAGTATCTGTGCTCACTCCTAGGCAGGCTTGCACTTCGTTAATAATTTTTTTCATAGTTTCATAGTTTTTAATTTGTTATAATTTTTTTTTTATTTAATATTATTTAAATCGGAACGTTACTCTATTGGGTTTTTGTTCATACTCCAACCAAATTGGGTTATTTACTTCACTGGCTTCAGTAATGCTGGCATCGAATTACTTTTTATGGGTTAAAAACGTTTTATTTATTTCAAGTAATTGATTCGATTTGGTTTTAAGTTATACATTGGACTAATTTAAATTGAATACAATTAATTTGTAGATTTTTTCGTTGGATTACTTAAAGAAATCAGTTGACAAAATGGGTTAAAGTTTATTTGCATAAATAAAATGAACCGAATCGTTAATCTACGTCATCTGATTGAGCAACATTTCACTGAAATTGTAAGTGTTGGCAGGAAATTTATTTAAAGATAAGATTTGATTTAAGTCAAAACGATAAATTTGTGGTACTACAAATATAAAGCAAAAGATTATAGTAGTAATCTTAAATTTGGTTTAAAACAGATAATCAAAATGAATAAACTTGTATGAGTAATGCACTTTAACTAATTCTGTCTCTATTATTCACTTTCACGTCATAGCCAGTATATCATATTGCCAATTTATGATGGAAAATTCTATGTAATTAAATGAAGAATAATGAATGCTAATTTGAATAATATATTATTATTCAAGTATATTAATTATGGGTAACGACATTTTTCAAAACCATATGCTGAATAAATATATTTAAGTTGTTATAAAAACCCACGTTTGCGGTGTAACAAAGAAATAAAAATTCGTACTGCTCACTGTGAACATTTATGTTAAAATATTTTTCTATTATACTATAATATATAATAATTAAAATGTGTTGAAAATTAAATTAGAAAATTGTAATAAATTAATTTGAAAATTGATTATAAAAAAATAAAACAAAGTAATTTACTCTTAAGACCTTTACAGACCCACCGCATAGTACATAAATATAATCGATCATACAATTTAACCAGCAATTTTCAAATTATCGCCCACAAAGTGGCGATTGGTCACAAAATATGCTTTGAAAGTTAACAAAAAAAGTTCAGCTTGGATTAAAAATAACATTTAAAATTTAATACAATTTTATTTTAATATTATAAACAACAACAAAGAGTATGGGAAAAGGTTTAAAGTGAAAGATGAAAAATTTATTGACAGCAACTCAATGGGGAATTTGACAGGCAAAGTTGCAACTAATTAACTTTTTGATAGCAAATTAATAAAATTTATGATATTATATTAAAAAAAAAATATATACATAAATATAAAGTTAAGTATAAAAAAGAATTTGTCTTGCTTATGCATACAAACTTTTCTTTTGCCTTGCAAATGTTGCTTTAGAAAGTTTGTATACAAAGTTGCTTAGCAAATGTTGCTAGCAGTTATATTGACACAAAATTGTTTGCCAGACAACTTTTTTTTTCCAACATGTATATAAAAAGCTGTAGCCTGTTTAAATGTTGTCTTTTAATTGTTAAACATTTGTTGTTGTTATACATATGTTTGTGTGTATTGTTTGAATATTGTGCAAACTTAAATAAAAAACGTGTCCTGTCTTTATGTTTAAGGTTTTACAGTCCAATTACTATTAATCGGCATTCATTATACTCGGACCAAGAGTTAATATAATAAACTACGCCTGTTGCCAAGTCATGTTTAGATTAAAAATTTAATTTTTCAATTTGAGTTTTAGCCTTTTTTGCAATTAGCGCTAAATGTGTTTGTTATAATGCAAATATTGTTGTTTTTACAATAAAAAAAAATTTAAATTTGTTGTTTATTTTTATTTAGTTGCAATAATTTTTTTTATTTATTACGTCGTTATTGTTGACTTTATTTTTTGTTCGATCACAACGAAAGTAGGTCAGTTCTCTTGATGATAAGGCACTTAGAAGTATTCAAATTAATATAGATTAAATAAATGTAGACAAAAAAATTAATATAAATTTAATTGTTAGCAATAATAAAATATATACGAGTAAGACACTTGACTTTTTATTTGCAGCGCTGAATTCAATTTTTTTTTATTGTATAAAAAATTAATATAAAAATTATGAATTAGTTTATTTTCTCACGCTATGGGAATGTTTAAGCTATATAAATTATAAATTATATAAATTATAAATTATAAAAATTTTAAATTTAAATACAAGGCAGTAGGTAGAAATCTAAGTAGCTACATTTCTTTTCATTATCTGGGTGAGAAAAGCAATATAAGTAAGTAGGTAATAGTTTGAATCGTCTTATTCATGATCACTTTTTTTACACAACAATTAATTGACTTGAACGATTATAATAATTAATTATATACATTGTATTGAATATTCATTTTATTGTATGTAACATGCAAAAGGCACACCTGTTTTATTTTAAACTATATTTAAGTGTGTATTTCTGTAAGCATAATTGGTTCAAAGCAATTATATTGAATTGTTATCAAATCTTAATAATAAGTTGAAAACAAGGCGTATAATAATATTTTTTAAAATGAAAGTTATTAAAATTAACAATCAGATTTGGTATCTACAACTACAACTTGGGGTTTGAAGAAGGAACTCTTTCTTTCTTTACCCCTATGAACATTATTAGTTTGGTACAAATTGGATGACAGCATAATTTCATGAGCAGAACGTTTAAGGTCAAGAGAATAGATTGAGTTGATGTATCCGGCCGTACGTCAAATATGAAACCATTTATCTTTAGCAATACCAGATAGCGCTAAACATCCCTGTAGGGATCATTTAGAATCTTAATGTCTTTGCTGTGAATGTAAGGAGAGCTTGAAGCTTCATTTTATTGAATATCGATATTTATCGATAGTTATCGAATATTTTAAAATTCTTTTTAAAATCCCGTGATTACATCAAACTTCAATAGAATTGAGCACAGAACCTGGGTTTCAGCATACACACACCTTGCTGACAAATAATCATTCGGGTTGTGGTATGATACCATAGGTCTATTTTCCTATAAAATTTTACTTCTGACATGCTTTAATGCCAATGCGACTTTTTTCTTTGTTAAATTTATTGACACCAAATATTTTAAAATGATAACCAATAAGAAAACTATTACTCATGTAAAATTATTGCTTAGAGACATAGAACTTTAAGTAAAATATATAACTCTAAAAAATATATTCTAATAAGTTTTAGAAATATATATAAATTTTATTCCATATATTAGTTTAAAAGTTTTATCTCAAAATTGTATTGTACTGATTCTTTATTTAATATATATATATAATATAATACATAATGTAATATGTAATATAATATAATATAATATATATATAATATAATATTATGTATGTATAAGATTGTAATAGCATTTTTGATATACCATGCGATTTGGTTGTAGATTGACTTTACTAGTAAGATATTTAAAATTTGAAAGGCCATATACTTCCAAGTTAATAAAGGCTATTGGCAAATTTTTAGAGCAAAGTAATTCAATAGTTTGTCATTAAGTAACTCTTACTATGATTGCTTGAAAAAGTTTTTAAGAGAGAGACGGCAACTATTTGTATTTATTGGAGGATATATCAGTTGGTTAGTTAAAAAATTAATTTAAGTTATTCTGTTCTGTTCCGTATAAAGGAAGTATTTCTCATTTACGATATTATTTAATTTTTTTTTCAATTTTTTATTTATCTTTATAAAAATAAATTTATAATTGGATGATTTATTATTGATATGATGAGTCTCACGATAAAAATATTTTTTAAATGAAACTAGAAAATATAATTTAATTTTAATTCAAAATAAATTTCATGAATATTTATTTAATTGCCGCCTCAAGGAAACTTTTCGCAATTGTTAAGTAATAAAATTTATTATAAAAATATTATTTTATTTTAGAATATTTGGCAGATTGCTTAATTTTTTATGTAAATTTTATACACCGATTAATGGACTGTGTTAAAATATTACAATTTTGGCATATTTACATTTCTATTTAATATTTTAATACACTTATATTAGTAAAACATGAATTGCATATCATGTCGGCTTTAGACACGTTTTGTTAAATATATTTATTTATAATTATACGTGTAAATTTGTTACACAAATTGTCTGATTGCATTTTAAGTAATTTGAACTATTATTAAAATACATTGCAAAAATAATATTTACAATAATAATGATAAAAGCACGCGATCGACTTTTGTAACTTATGAATTATGCATTCTGTGTATTTACTCGTATATCATATATCTGTTCAAAAAGAATCAAAACAAAACTATATCTGAATTGAAATTATTATTTATTATCTCACTGGTAACTGTTGTGTATCGCTTGCACGATTATATGAACATTTGTTCTTGACCATAGACAATAATCGTTGGCTTATTGTATGTCTCTGAGATAAGATTTTTTTACGGCTTAAATTGATTTTTATTGTTAATACGTGTTGAATTATTTGTAACATATACATTAATTTTTTTATTTGGCATTATAAAGTTTTGAAATATTTTAAAATTTTTAATGAATACTTTATGTTTGGCATTCACAAGTTCTGGTCGCTTGACTTTGTCATTGGCATAAATCTGCACAAACATAACATTTCGATGTAAGTATCTCAATTCTTTCATATTTGTACCACTTCATATGGTACAGCAGTGAAATGAGGTCAAGTTGCTTAATCAAAGTGTGAAAAACGGAAATGTAGGTGTAGCACAGATATTTTCTTATATATTTTTATGTTAATTTAAACAAAAAAGTCGTTATTTTTTATTATATTAGGTAGTTAGTTAAGAAAAACAGAACACTTATAAACTAGAAATTAAATTAAGATATGATGACGTCATAAGAGTAAATTCCATATTCTAACTACAGAATAAATCATGATAATAATAATTTTATTACTATGAATCTCTTATATACATCTTAAGAACTTAAGAAGCACTTAAGAAGTTCTTAACTTATTATGATATTTGAGTGAATCACTCAAATCAACTCAATAAGTAAAAATGCATCAGACTCTAGCTCGCGTTTCATCAAGCAGCGAATAAAGAAGAAGAAGCAGAAGAACTCCTTAAGGAATAAAGATATTACTTTTTAACGGATAAATTTATCCTATAAAGTGCTTTCAAAAATAAAAAGAACTGTTAAAAAATAGTTTTCTTAAAGAGTCAAATATAGTCGTCGGGTTGATCAAACATATCCCATTATCATGTAATTTGGTACCGAGTGTCTTTTATCTGTTTTGAAATATGCATTTGACAATGCAGAAGATGAGTTCGTAGAAACCGTCCAATCCAAAACTCTTATACATCCCGGCAGGCACTTATTTAACATATTTTAAAACCATTTCTTTACTTTTTCATGAGTGATTAATTTATTGATTATAACTAAAAGTTGAAAAGTAACATTCAGTAAAAGCTTTCAAATTATCTATTAGTATTTACTCAAGTTTCCTATATATGTTACATTACAGTAAATAAACTATAACAATTTATATTATATCTTAATAATTAATCTTAAAAAAATGTTCAATAAGTGTGGGTAAAAACTTTCAATTTAGACTGCCAATAAAAAACTTAAAAAAAAACAGTAATCTCATGCATCTATAAATTGTTTTAAGCTAATATTTATATAATTAAATTATTCCATTAAAAATAAATTACACAAAATAGTTAAATAAGTTTTCTCAATGGTGTGTTTAATTTTCATTTATATATAAATTATAATAAATTATTATTTAATGTGTTGAATATTTATATATTAGCATATAATATTTATAAGCTTATGTAGCGTCAAATTGTTTCACTCCGTTGAGTATTGAAATTTAAAATAAAATTAATTATTTAAATTAAAATTAAAGAAATTGCAGCGATTGCATATATAGTATAGAAATAATGATGTAGAAAATTTTTAAATACAATAATTATTATTTATAATAAATTCATCATATGCTTTCTACTTTTCTTTACAGTTCAGCGTTTTATTCACTATTGTTTTGACAGTAGCTTTGGTTGCTGGTCAACAATTCCTGCTTGGACAATTTCCATCCACAGTGCATAGTCAATTTAATTATAATACATTAGATGCAGTACCACAAGGCAGTAATGTCAGAGATCCAAGACAAAATAGAGGTAAGATTGTAGAAAAGTATTTAAAAGCAAAAAATTATATTTGTTCTTAAAATCAAATATGTATATATAAATTATTTTTGCATTTATATATATATATATATAATTTTATTAAATTTAGGGATTTCGTACAGCAACATAGATAGCTTTATGTACACTTTGTGGATTCAAAGTACTTCTCTAAGCCTAACTGCCTCCGTAAATTCTGGTTGCGAAGCTACTCTATAAAGCCTAATTTCTTCATTTGATAAAAGATGTTCACTTAAGTATTTTTGTCGTTTATGCAGAAGTATAAAATCCACTCTATTGAGTCTTATTTTTTCTTTCGATTAAAGAACAGTTTTATCATATATGCCTAAGTATTGGTCAAGCGCCTAGCCCATGTTTTATAGTCCATTTTTTTCTTTATAAAACGTATAAGTTTAATTAGACTAAATGCCTAATCTTGTAAGACGAATCAATCTACAAAAGCTTGCCCAAATTTTTAAAATAATACCTTCTTTAAGTTACATGCATTATAATTAAAAAACTAAGTAATTAAAAAAGGAAATTATAAAGTTGCATGAAATCCTGAAATTTAGATCAGCAGCGATTTTGTACTATATGTGAGAGCAGTACAGCTCTATTTGTTTCTCTTCTTCTTTCTGAATAGTTGAAAAAGAAAAAATTATTTCTTCCTGAGTAACAGAAATATTCTGGTCCTACAAGCAGCGAGATTTATAGGCTTTTAGATATTTTAGAATTTCGGGTCTTTACCAAACTTGCTACGCATAAATAGAGGTATTTTAGAACTATTTATTAAAACTTTTCTTTCTATAGGATGATTTAAACTGTACGATTTTTCGCTTTGAGAGAGATAAGAAAGGAAATCGTTTCTGTTGAATAGTGAAATTACTTTTATTAGATCAGTAAATTAATATCCATTAGGAATTATGTATTTTTTAATAATTTTAGAATAAATTATTATATTTTAGATATCAGTTCTATTCTATATTTAAAGGTTGTCAATACAATCAACACAAATTAAATTAGTTTTTAAAATAATTTAACTCTGCTCAGTGTCAAAAAAAAAAAAAAATAAATGAAAGAAAATATTTTTTTTATTTTTTATGTTAAAAAGGTTTATATTAAAACAATTTTATCTTGCAAAGGATTTTATGGGAGGTCCTTAACAGGAAATGATTTTTCTTTTTCACCCCAACTTTTATTAAATTAAATTAAATAAACATTAAATTAAATTGAATTTATTATTTAATATTTAGATAAACATTAAATTTAATTTTATTTTATTTATAAATCATTTTATATATTACAAAAAATCTATAAAAAAAACTATATATAGCAACAGTCGAGACGTTTAAATCAATTTTATTTATTTTACATTGAAATAAGAAATTAAATGCTAATTAAATTTTTAAATTAAATTTAATAATTGCAGGACCAGTTGTGTTTCCACCATCACCACCAAATCCACTTGATGAATCCAGCGGCGTAGTAGTCGGAGCTTCAGGTTACGGTTTTGTGCCACCACAACAAAGTAATGATTATAAAAAAAAATAAGTTATTAACACAATACAAAAAAAAAATACACCTAATAATTTTAAACCAAATGAAACCAAAACTCAAAAAAACTTAAGACAACAAAGAAGAGAAGCTTAATTGGTGCAAAATAGCTTTTGTTTTTGTTTGTATTTAAATGTTTACCTCAATATTTGCACAAATTATTTAGTTAATATATATTTAAAATAAGTTCTTTTTTAAAAAGAAAATCTATTTATTATTATAATATAATAATATTAAATATTAAATATTAATGATTTTATATAATTTCACAGATAATGGTGTTTTTGGTTAAGCTTGTAATTCAATACATGAGACAGATACCAAATACATACTAATTATAACTCAGGCATTGCTTTAAGAAGAACCACACATACACACACACACAATAGATAATTACATTAAATTAAAATCAGAGCTAAACTTGGAATAAAGCTTAATTAATTACAAAACGGAAATGGCCGCCATATTAACAGAAAAATATTTTTACATTGCCGAATATTTCAATGAAGAATTCAATTAAATTGAAGTAGAATTGCTTACTAAAAAATTCAACTAATTACTTAAATCAACACATAAAAAATTAATTAAAAGCAAAGCCATAAATTAATAATATTTCATTAATTAAACAATTGAAGTCATAACACTAAAACGCACATTTTTTATTTTATTTTTTATTTTCATTTTGTTTAAATATTTTTTCAGTTTATTTAAAAATTCATATTAAGCAATAAATTTGTTTATTTATTTTTATTTAATTGAAATTCATTTTTTAAATTGGTTTTAATATAAGCATTCAAAATAATTATATTAAATTTTTATTGCACTAAAATTGGATTTTCACTTTCAAATTTTTATTTTTTATTCATATAGTTTATAATTGGCATTCAGTTTTTTGCTTAAATTTATTATAATTTAAAATTAATCATCAATACAAAATTATCACCCAGTTATTATAACTGAAAATGGTTTTCATTTATTCATTATTTTATTAAATTCGTTACTTAATAAAAAGCCATGGCTTATTACATAAAGTAGAATTAAATTATATATTGCATTAATGTTTTTTAGCTTCCGTAAATTTATTATTATTTTTTTTTGTAAAACAAATTTATTATTTTTTCTAATAAATTTGGGTTTTTATTAAAATTTTTATTAAATTTTTAAGTTTCAAAATATTTTTTATTTCATTAATTTCAATTTATAATTTTTATTTATAAGATATTTAAAATAATTTCTAAATTTTATATTTTGTTCGTTTTAAATTTTTATTTTGTATTTAAGTTTTTTAATTAAATGAAATTATTTGATTTTATGTTTAATTTTGTTTTTTTTTTTATTATTAAAAAAAATTGGTGTATTTAATTAAGTTTAAAGCTTTTAATTTTATTTTCAAAAAAAATTTATATGTTAATAGCAACTTTTTTGTTTTATTTTTTTATTTCTTTTTAAATAATTTGTAAATCAGTTTTTAATTGATTATAAATTAATTTCTTTAGTTTTAATTTTACAAAATTTTTATTTTTAAGTTTTTTAAGTTCACTTTTAATTTCAACAAATTGGAATTTATATTTTAAAATAAATTATTTTATGTTAATTTCTAAATTTTATCTAATGTTATTATTAGTAAATAAAAGCAATAAATATATATGTATACAAAAAAATTAATTATTTTGTATTTTTATTTGACACGATTTTTTTTCTGCACTGCTTAATAAATTAATAAACTAAACATTTTATTTGATTCTTTCTAATATTATTTAAGAATTTATTATTTAATAATATCTCTGAGAAGATGAAAAATATTGTGGGAATGTTCTGATTAACATGAAGCAATTATAGGTACTGGGTGTGTTATTAAAAGTATTATTAATATAAAATGAAATATAATTTTTCACACTAAGATTTAGGTGAAACTTATATCTGTATAAGTAAAAGTGCTGACTCCAATCAATAAATAACTTTAAAAAGCTCCTCGTAGTTTTTTCTCTAAATTTAATTTAAGACTAAATGCATGCACAATATAGAAGCACAAATTAATTAATTAATTAATTATTAATTCTAATTAATTTTATTTTTTTGCAACAATGGAATGGTTAAAAGGAATGGTTACAATGTTTTATGAGAATATATATATATTTTTTTTTGCAATTTTTTAGCGGAGTTCAAAGATACTGAATCAGTATTATAAGTGAAGTATATTGATTACAATTGAATAAAATTCATTGATATTGATTAATACGTCAGTTATTTATTTTTTAACTCAGGTAAAAAATAGAAAAAGTAATTTTAGAAATAATTAAAATAATATTTACATATATTTCAACTTTATTTTTAAACATTTATGTACAATGGATTATATTTATACTGAGTTTTTCTTTATTGTTTGATTGGGGTTCATCAATATTGAAAAAAATAAAATAATGTAGGGATTCCACAATAATGCCTCTTAGAGATATTAATATTGTGATGGAGATGCTTATAAGTCTTTGTTGATATGAAAACATGTCCAGTAGGAAATTGTTTTAGATCTTTATCATTATTATTTATCATTATCTAGATCATGTGCAGCGTATCTTGAGAATAAAATCTGATTTGAATTACTTACTTAGTTCGTCATTACAGACGTAAGTCCTCTTTGGCTGCGTCGAGTAGATTTCGCCAGCCAGTCCGATCAGTGGCTTGCTGTCGCCAGTTGATAGTACCGAGCGCCCTCAAATCGCTGTTCAATTGGTGCTTCCACCAAAGATGTGGGTGTCCTCTACCGTATTTTTTAGCAACTGCTACCGAATCAAATGCCATTCTGTTGCAACATTTTCCTCCATTCACATGACAACACCAAGTCAGCAAATGCACTGAATTTTTATACACTTAACCATGTCAATGTCGCGATATTGCTTATACAGCTGATCGTATTATATAATTAGATACTCGTGGGTAACGCATAAGGGATTACCTAATTTAAACATAAAAATAAGCATTCTCGGTTTAAATTTTACAGGATTCAATACAAACCACTTGCGGTTCTAAAATTATTCAAGAATAATTAAACTAGTAGCTGTTTCTAAAGATTAGTGATGATAAATATTTCGGATAATGTTTCCAAAAATGACTAGTGATGGGTATTTGACACTATTCGAAACAGTTCAAGAATTCATTTGATTAAAAATTAAATTTTTCAATTCGAAAATTTCCTCAATACTATCCCCTTTTCTATAAGAAATAAAGTTCTTGCTATAGGACTTACAAATTTTAATTTACTTGCTGATAAAATCATTATTATAATAATCTAGACTATGTGTTATGTACAAAAAACTGTCAGAACTTTGAGTATTAAAACCAAAAGTTGAGCTATATGGTGTTTTTCGAACTTTACGATGAAATCTTTATTATAAAAATCTAAACTATTTATACAAAAAGTAACGGATATAACTTAACTAATTCAATTATTCTACAGCTGGTTTATGATTTCGTTCTAATATTACAAAACAAGTAAATTTGTTAATAAAAACTTTCATAGCAAAATTAATAAACTTCAGAAAAATGTGTGAACATAAAAGTGAAGTAAGGCTTTGAGGCAGTTGATTCTTAAGGGCGCTGACTCTGAGTGTCAAAATCGGCAGGGCACGAGTGCAATTCCTGGTACTTGCAGTCTCAAAAAATAATTATTTACGAATAATTAAATACAAGAATTATTTTCAAGACCACTGATGATGGGTATTAGACAATACTCGAAACAGCTGTATGGTTAGCTAAAAATTCAATTAATTAAAATAATAGAAAAAGAATAATAGAAAATAATAAAAAAATAATTTTTGTTGTTGTAGTTCACTACCTTTCGAAAAAAACGTCTTTATGATATAACATATTTGAGATCTTTTTTAAACTATTCATATAAAAAGTTACCAATACCAGATATTC